AGTCGAGCCCCAAGATCAAGTCCTACCATTGCTCCTTCAATGGAAGTGACTTTTCTTTCCTTTTAGCCGTATTCCTCCCTTGCTTCCATCAGAACGGATCTTGGATTTGTCTTCCTGCCAGTAAAATACGTTGTCCTTCACCTGAAGAGGCTTAGAACTCATTCGGAGATTTTGAGCAAGGTCTCGTCGGATGTCTTCGGATTGACGTGCTTCTTGGAATGCTTGCTTCGACAGCTGTTTGATCTGAATGGCTGTCAGCTCCTCCTCATTCCTGTCAATCGTCAACTGAGTTGGTGTTGCGACATCGAGTTGGATGAGATCTGCTGGTTGTCTTCCGAATGCGAGCTCCAATGGTGACAGTCTGATTCCTGACAGTTGCAGCTGCCTTCACCAGCTGTCTATATGTCACTTTCAGTGTTGCAGGTGCTGTTCCTGCCTTGATGGAACTTAGCATGATCTTGAGTTGTGCCTTCAGGAGTCGAACTGCTGCTTCAGCTCGATTTGGCCATGGTGTGTTCGGTCCCAAGGATATCGGTGTGATGTCAAGGGACTGATAGAAATGTTCGCATGTCTCTGTCATGAAGGCTTGGTCTGCGACAACTGATTTTGGCTGCAAGTGGTACTGGTCAAAATAGTTCCTGAGGACGGTGATGTTCTCAACTTCTTGCGTAGTTGTCACTGCCTCTGCAGTGAGCAATGTTGTTGCTCCATCCAGGATGACAAAAACAATGATGTGCTCTCCTGTTCCAAGAGGAACTTGACAGTGATCAATGAATGTCATGTCACCAAAGGTGTCCGCTCGAAGTCCACTCGTCTTGCTTCGTGATGGTGCATGTTTTGCCGCTTGGCAAACTTCACATTCACTTCGGATTTTGTCAAATAGATCGAATGTTGATTTCGGCAAATGAAGTGAGCGAGTTCTAAATCGAAATTGATCTGTTGTCATGTGATGATGCTGAAGGTGGAGCTTCTTCAACTCTTCGGGATTTGACAATCGCTTGTGGATTCTGCCTAGTGCAAGCGGAAGCGTCGATGGTTCTTCTGAGGATGGTGCGAAAGGATCTGGCTCAATGGTCGACCGGCCCTTCTTGTCGATGATCCTGTCTGCTGCCGATCCTGAGCCTGCTTCTTCGTCCTTAAGCGAATTGTCCGCGAAGGTGGAAATGGTCTTACCTATCCACAGGTTAATCATTGGTTTGTTTGCCTGGGATGTAAGTCTCCAATTGTCTTCTAGGATGTCTGGATCTCCACCTTCGGATGCATCTATGATTTCTGTGGCACACTCTCGGCTGATGTTATCAGGATTGATTGGACATTCCTTGGCTCCATTTGGTGTGAACAGCGCCTTGCGAGGCGTGATGTGCACACGGATGAGCCGCTTGTTCTTCTTATCAAGGATCCAATGGTCCTGCTTTTGAGACCCAATGATTTTAGGAGTTGCTAGGTCCTCCTTCGTCTCGGATGATTTTGATGCACAAACAGTTTCACTCTTGGAAATATCCCCGGAGGGAAACCGGATGCTGTTGTCATTATCGTAGACGTAGTTGGTGAGGCCCTTGATGGCAATTTCTCCATGTGCTTTCACTCTTGCAACTCCAGCGAGGTCGACGAGTGCATGTCCTGTACCGGATACTGGAACTGCTTGACGGTTCATGCCAAAGGCCTTGCATGTGATCTTATCACATTGAGGTGTGTGCTCGATGGTCATGTAGAGGTTCCGCATCTGACTGACGCTGAGGAGGATCGGCACAGTTCCTTGTTCAAGGACGTCGATGTTGGTACTGCATGGAGGTGTTGTGTGATATCGGAGATGCAAGGTCCAATTTACCTTGGCTGTTTCTCCGTTTGCAAAAGTGAACTTGGTCTCGGCCGGGATGTACTGATAGGAGATGAGGTCTTTCATGGGTTCGATGGCCTGAGTAAAACGCTGGATTGCATGCCAGCTGCCCATAGATCTGGCACATCCATTGTCCAGAATCACATAGGTCGGATTGTGCTGAGGGTTCATGACAGGCGCCATCAGCTTGGTTGCCAAAAGGCTGTGATCTGTTGTGACGGACAAATTGTGTTCTGAAACTGCATATGATTGGATCAACTTCCCGTGGATGGCCTTTTTCTCATGATGCTCATATGCGTCATGGAATGCCATTAGCGCTTGTCCTGTGCTGGATGTCTCATGGGATGAGTACCAGCCTTGTTCGTTCCATGTCCACGATTGATCCCAATCGTGGTCTGTCCAACCGGCATAGGTAGGCTCTGTGGATGGTGCAGTCTGCTGGATGGCGGGCTGCTCCTCCGTCTTCTCTGCGTTGGCTGCGAACGTCTTGGGTTTTCCTTTGTCATGTCCGCCTTTTCCTTTGCCATTCTCATAGGGTGGATAACCCTTGTTTCCATCATAGGGATATTGGAATTTTGAGTTTCCTTTCTTTTCCTTCTTTCCTTTGCCTTTTCTCAATATGCCTGGTCGTACGGATCATAGTTTTCATTGGCCATATTGGCCTTCCCGCCAGAACCGCTTTTTCGAAAGGGTTGAAGCCACCTCGTTGATGACTGCCCTTTTTGTTTCCTGATTTTCCTTTTCCTTTCCTCTTCTTGAATCTGAAATTCCGCCCTGACACTTTTCTTGCTATGAACGCATCGTTCTCCTCGAGGACCCAGAATGTCTCTTCATCGTTGTTTGACATGAATCCTTCAAGTCCTTCTTCATCCTCAACCCAAAAGCCTTCTTCTCCTTCGTATTCACCTTGTTCGATGATGAAGAAGGTATTGCTTCGGTTGCCTCCTTGAGGTCGGATGGATGGATCTTGAATGGATGTCCGGGTCGTGATGAAGAGTTCATGGTAATGCGTCTTCAGCATCTCATAGGAGTAGTTCTCTAGTGAAATGTTTCTCAGTGACATTGCACTGGTCAGTCCTTCTCTGCTGATCTGACAATTCACTCTGAATTATGAAAAACTGCGCAATGAGATTATCCCCGAAGGGAAATGGGTCCCGGTGTCTGTCCTGCATTCCCGTGATATACTGTCTGAGGACTGTTGGATCACCCTCATCGAGCAGGACTGTGCCCAGATTGATGCGTGTGAAACCTCCGCTCGCGGTTATGACACCGTTTGGGAGCAAGTGGCTTCGTTCCACTTGGTTTCTGAAGAACGGGTCATGGCTCAAGGTTGAGGATAGAGTTGACCCAGGGCTGCAATGTGTGCGGATTGATGGATGGGTTGAACGCGCAGTTTGGCAGTTTCATCCCGTACCGGTTGCTGTACCGGCGCGGGAGCGATCTCCACGACCACGACCAATTCATGTCGGGTCCGGGGATGTTGACATGCAGTCCGAGGCGGTACTCGAGTACCAGCTGCTTGCTGATGTCGAGCAATTGTTCTTGCATTTGCGTCCTGTACGGACTGTCGAAATGATGGTGACTGTGCCGTGAAAACTGGCATCAAGTCCATCCATGCTGCCTTCAATCTCATGAGAAGGATTTCGAATTTTGAGGTAAAAATGAGGAACTCTTGGTTCTGCCTTCTATGATTGAAGAAACTGAGGAGCCTGTACAGATACACGTTGGTCGCACCTTTCAAAAAGTAATTCTTCAGCGTGTTCTTGAAGTAGTTGACTCCTTCATCAGGATCTTGCAAAAGGTCATTTTGGAGGACTGCCTTGTACATATAGGCATCTCCTGTGAGTCTGCTTTTGAGCAGAGGTCCTCTCTTGGGTGCTTCCACCGTAGTGATTGTCACCTAGTCGTCCACGAGTTCTTCATACCTGAACCAGCTGACTTTTCCGTCGTACGATGGCGGCTGCTTGGCGGTCATCGATAAATTGAGTGTTTCATCGGATGACATTTTCCCTTGGATCTCTGCGGAAAACCTGCTCCGCTACCACAAATTGAGGCCCACTGCCGGGGTGCCTATCCCAGAAGGGAACTGGTACCCTGTGGTAGTAGAGGTCGTTGATTTGGTCCCTGGATCTATTCCGGAGAGAGTCCAATATGCCAACATGGAGGATTGGAGGATGGATTGTCCCTGGTGGCTTGTGTTGACTGTGATTCCTGCAAAGCGGCAAGCCTTTTTATCAATGTACCATGAGTCGAGTGACTGTACAAATGACTTGAAGGGCCTTGAGCCATCATGTCAGCGGAGTGTGTGAATAGGTCAATGTGCAACAAAAAGCAACACAGGGGGCGGGGGGCTTTCCCCCTTGTGGCATGATGTAATTAAGAATAATTTCTGCGACTTTAGGGGGGAATGCAGTTCTGGTCTTGAATTGGGAACCAAGTCAAAACAACAAAATCCAAAGAACACTGACACACCCTCCCTTCCATTTTCCCTTGCAGGCAACCGCATGTCGGCAACTGTGTGGTTGGCAGGCTTCCTTTGGTCCCAGTATGTTTTCATTAAAAGTAGGCTCCCGCGGCCCGACGCCCTTTCTAAAGGAATACTCTCTTGTAGGAGGACACTGAACAGACAGGGTTTTTGAGACTTCCTTGACAAGGCCCCATAGCAACGAGCCAGCAACTTCTTTCGCAAACTACCGGGAACCTCAGCTACATTCCGTAATCAGGGCAATCCCCCCCCCCACCCCCCCAAAAGAAAAGAAAGAAACATGTAAACAACAATGAGTGGTTTCTTGTTGGTTTCCCTTTGACACCACCCAAAAGAAGTGTTGAAGAAAACACAAGACGACCCATCATGACACATTCATTTCTTTGAGATAGAAACCAGAAGGAAACTCTACAGGGGGCTTTGGCGAACGTTCCTGTAGAAACTTTGCAACCACCGCGGCTGGTTTCTGAGATTTTGGCGCTGAACAAATACGCGAGAATTCTTTCGCACTCGAAAATAGCCAAGGGAACTCCGGGAATCCCTTCGACACGGGCATCCCGGTTTTAAGGAGGGTAGCCCTAGGCGAATTTTCTTACCGAAACCAAATCGACGCATTCAGGGGCTTCCGCTGGAAACAGGATCCGACACCGTCCGACACCCAGCTGGCAACGTCTCAACGTCTCCAGCTTCTTTCGGACGACCACCATGTGATCTGCGGACCAGGAGCCGCGCTTGTCCTGCGCCTCACGGGTCTTCTTCGCTGGGTTGGTCGGGGTGAGACTTTGAGACACACCATTAAACTATTAAACCGGGGTGCGAGGGGTATGAATTTTGGACATGGGGACGTTGCGTGCCACATAAACTAAGGGACGTCTCATGTGCCATGTTTGACTATGGTTCCGTGGCTGGTTGCAACATGGTAAGGGCATCCACCTTTGCAACCCGTCACCCCCCCCAACACGCTCCACCCGCATTTCTTAGCCCAAGGACCGCGCTGCGCAAACGATGCCAACGTTGAGGTTTCGTATGATGAGACACTGGGAGGGGACATCAAGCGTCGAGTGGGACATTCTCGAAAACCGAAAACCGCGCCGCCTCAAAGACCATCCCAGTTTCTTGAGCTTGCTTGTTTGGCACAGGTAAAAAGGCACACCCTTATGCGTTGGTTCTCGTTGCCAAGGGAACACCCATGATATACATCACCGTTTTCCTGCTTGTCCATGGTTTGCTTATCTGTCGAAGCGCCTTGGTTTGCCACTAAAAGTGCGCCTACAGTTCAGGAACTGGCATGTCGGGGGCTTTGCGAACCGCGTGGACATTGGCCTCCCCTTCAAAGGCGGCAAAGATCGACAGCAATGTCTCAATTCTTTTTTTCTTTTTGGACCCACCGCGTCTCAGGAGATGGTGGCCTTTCGGAAAAATTAATGGCCCTGGGTAAATGGAACAAAACCCATCTAAACCAGTGCCATCTTTTTTTCAGAACAGGGGACCCTGGTAGTGCGCTTTTTGATGCTTTTTGCGCGTTTTGAGGCTCGCAGTCTTCTCATGGGTCAGCAATGTCAGTTGCACTTGATCTAACACGTGCAGAGGAAACATCTTGAGAACACAATAAAAACCAAACAACTCGAGGAAAACCAAAAAAATCAAAAAAAACACATCGAGAAAACCAAACAAACTCGAGACTTTTTTTTCTTGGTTTAGAAACTCTTTCAACATGGGTTGTGTTGCAAAGAGTTTCTAAACCATGTTTTCTTTGTTCTTTTTGGCTTTTTTTGATTTTCTCGAGGTTTTTTTTTGGTTTTTGGTGTTCTCGAGTATTTTGTTTTTTTGGTTTTCCGAGTTTTTTGGTTTTCTCGTTTTTTTGGTTTTCTCGTTTTTTTCTTTCCTCGAGTTTTGTCATTTGTTCTTGTTTTTTGTTTTTCTTGAGTGTTTTTGGAGTATTCTATGTATATGATGGGTCCTCCTCTGTTCTTCGCTGTTGTGTATGGTTTATTCAGTTACACTTCTCTCGTGAGCAGCGCACACGATTTCTCATGTCATGAGTCCTATTTCAAATCAACTTCACCATAAGAACTCTAAATAATTCCTCTTAAACATCCAAATAAGTGTAAGAAGTCTATTTAAACTAACTAGAAGAAAAACCAGCTTGTCTATCCTTACCAGATTCTATTAAAATTATAATTAAAGTCTAATCAAAAGCCTAGATACTTAAAAAAATAATTCCTATTTCAAGCATGATTCAAAAACATGTAATTGAATTACTCAGAAGAAACAATCAGCTTGTCTTTCCTTACTAGATTCTAGTTAAAGTATGCTTAAATTCCAATTAAGTTTTGGACAGGAGTTCCTATTTAGACTTGGAAGGAATTTCTGTTTAAATTATAATTCACAATATGAATTCTAGTTCAACTCTAATTGCATTCATATGTGCAAGTATAAATTCCTATTTAACATCTGAATTATAATAAGAGTTCTAATTAAAGTCTATTTGCAATCCTACTTGGAAGGGAAGTACTATTTAAAGTCTGAATCAAATGAACCTTTGAAGTGAATTCTAATCGAAATCCCGTTTAAACTTAAAGCCTTGCAATTTAAAACTTGCAAACCAAGTGGAATAACATGTGTATTTTCCATGGGTGTTCACCGGCTTTTCACTCCTTTTGAGGGGCTTGCAAATTAGAAGAAACAACAAGCTTGTTTCTACTTATTATATTCTATTTAAATCCCAATTAAAATCCTACTTGGAAAGGAACCCCTATGTTAATTCTAATTCAAATCAATATTTTACATTGAATTCTAATTGAAATATGATTTAAACTTAAAGCGTGGCAAATTAAAGCTTGTAAACCATTGGAACTGAAATTGCATGTTCCTTGCGGTTCTATTGTTGTTTCACTCCTTTTAAGGGGCAGGCAAATTAGCAGAAACAACAAACTTGTCTTTCCATACTGGAATCTATTTGAACTCAAATTCAACTCTAATGCCAAACAGGAATGAAAGAAATATGCTAAGATAATTGCAGCTACTCTGGCTTGAATGAGCAGCAGCAATTAGCAGCATGTTACAAAAAACGAAGAAAGTAGAGGACCTTGAGTGATTCAGAAATCGCAGTTACAAACACTCTTTAGCAAAAGCAATCGTACAACTTGCTCAAGATATCAACCCCCCCAAATCACAAAAAAGTGCACTACCACAGTCCCCCAGTCTCCTTTTTTTATCCAAACTAACCTAAAAAGGACGCCCGTCCCAAAGCGCCGCTCCTTCCGCGTGCGGCGGCTGCCGTCCTCTTTCTCTTTGCCCATGGTGCCCTTCAGGGCCTCCACCTTTTTCGTTTTTCCAGTCGGGACCACCGGCGACCCATTTTTGTTGGGCTTTGTTGGTACCAAAAAGGAGACCTTCACTATGGGTTAAAAAACTGGTATGGGTTTGGATTCTGTGTTCTTCCTCTTTGTTGTTGGTACAAAGCACAGTCCTACTGCCGGTTGACAAAGCACCTGGGTTTGGGTTCTGTTAAACAGGAGGCCAATTTTTGGGTTTCTTTGGTACAAAGCACTGTCCTTCACTGCTTTGTGACAGAACATGGGTTTGGATTCTGTTTTCTGGGCGGGCCATACCTGGTTGCTTAAACCAGTTTGATTGCCAAATCCTGGAACCCACCAAGCAAAAAACAACCTAACATCTTATCTTGACCCCCCCCCCCTTCCCCGAGACTGTGAAGTGCGCTGCAGAGGCTTGTTCCAACTGAAAATCTTGGGCTAAGGGCCAACACAAATATTCCTTTTTCGAACAGCCCCCATGTAGAAATTGTCGACCAACTGCGCTCCACTTGCAACGCCACACTTGATGAATCAGCTTAACCAACCTTCAGCTCTCGGAAATATTTTCCAATATTATATATATGTAGGTATGTGTTTGTAAATGTATTTACATATGACCTCATATGAATATTCATCGCGTAATGCATACATCGATCTAGATGATGGCAAGACTGGTTGATCGAAGCTCACATTGGCCAAGAGAGACTGCCATCGGCCCACCCTTAGTTCAAAGTCTCTGACCATTTAGGAACAGTCTCACCTCAATTGCAAGCATGGAGATTCTACAGGTGACTTGTTGGTACTCTGACTTTTTCGGCCTTCCACTTTTCTGGGTGGAGAATCTGGACTCGTCGATGTCGCTTTGGGCCCTGCCAGTTAGGTCTTTGGGGCGAACAGCCGATATTTGTTCATTTTTCCGAGGCCCGCTCGCAGCCCTGCAGATCTTTGCGAGCGCGCGCTGAGTCGTTGAGCGCCTGGGAACAGGCGTCGGGCGTCCCAATCGCTGTCTGTGCTTTTGTGTCTCTGTCCCTGTCTCTATTTCTTTCTTTCTCTCTCTCGCTCTCTCTTTGTCTCTTTCTCTCTCCGTCTCTCTTCCTCTCTGTGTAAACCCAGAATTTGCTGGGCAAACTTTGCTCAGTTCCTCTTGAAATGAATTGTAAGGCGCCTCTGGAACACCACCCAAAGCAGCAGCAACTTTGCCATGCCAGCTGCAGGCCCAACAAAACGGGTTCCTTTCTTGATCTTAAAGGGCGCTTGCTGATATCAATAAACCGGATCAGAGGCTATTTGCCAACACCCAGTGCTTGGTGGGAGGCTCTGCGAAACGGGCCGCAAACAACTCTTGCCAACCTGAACTGCGCCGTCTCGAACACAAGAGTTCCCTTATTGGTTTCTAAAAGTGACCAAACCTCAAAGGGTCTTGTCACAAATGTGTTTCTCCGATTGGGGGTACCCAACATATATGAACCCCCCCCCCCTTCTCGACAGGAAACTGCAGGGAAGCCCTTTTTGAGGTTGCCCATTGTGAGACGCACTCGAAAATGGTACACGATGCCCGCTTCAATTTTTACCCGCGTTCGGGGACCGTTCTGTTCTAAGCGTGCCCCGCCGCTGGCTGTAACCCTGGAGTATGTTGTTGGGGTCGTTTCGTGAAAGGCTAAATGTTTACAGCCACATGTGAACCCGCACGTCCTGGAGAGGGCCTGAAAAGGGGTTGGTGCCCTTTGACCTCGCTACAGGCTGCACCCGGCTTCGCCTCCCAAATTCTCTCATAGATGGGTTCCCTTTGTGCAAACGATCAGAACCTGTTTCTTAGAACCTGCGCCAAATGCGGGTCTGACAACATGGGCCAAGGTGACGTCCAAGCAAGGTCAGGGGAGAGATAGGCACCCCTGTGACACCGGGGTTCCCCGGCCTGCTGTATCCGCTTTCCATGGGTGTCCACCTTCTCCAAAGTCTCCCGACGGTACCGCCACAAAGCTTCCCGGTCGATGTCCGGCTGCACGTGCCGGACCTCGAATTGAAGAACCCGCGCTCCGTAGCTGTGTTTATCAAACGTCCGTTTTTTCTTTTTGTTTTGGGGGGGGGGGTGGCGGGGTGGGGGGGTGGGGGGTGGTCTAGGGGGAACTTCCAACCATGTAAACAATCCTTTCCAGAACCCTTGCTTGAACAGAACGAAGGTTGAAAAGAATGGGGACTCAAAGCCGAAATGTTCAGGTCCTGTACCAAAACCTCTTCAATCTCGACTGGGTGCTTTTCTTGGGGCCTGGAAGACATGCACAAAACATGGATCTTCTTTTGGTGTCCATTTCGGAAAACTCAAACTCATTGGCCATGGAGCATCCAGTTGACACTTGGTGGCTTTTCGGCTTGGAGTGGCCATACCGAGGATTCGCGAGGGCTTGAAACAGTACCGGTTCTTGGGTTTCCCTTGAAACCTGACAACCCGAATCATGGCTTGCAAGAGCTCAGTGGTCAAAGAGAATTATGTTTCGTTTGACTTTTGCTACGTATTGCGGTCCTGTGGCTTTCCCAAAGTTCCCCCCCGAGGGCAAACGAGCTTCTTTCTGACTTCTTGGAGCCGCAACTCTCTTTCCCAAGGCAAAAACAGGGCACCCTCCCACCAAACGCGGAAGTGCTCTCAGGCCCTCCGTGCTGGGGCTGCGGGCGGTCAGCTTCAGGCCGTTCTTAGACTTGTGGACCTAGCGAGCGAACACTCTGCAAGTGACTTTTACCTCGTACTCCAAAAAGTGAAAAGCCCCCCCCCCCCCCCGGGGGAACGAAAACCATGAATAAAGAAATGAAACGAAAAATAAGGGATCATATGGATTAGGTCTTTTTTAATCGTGTTCCAATGCTCCAGCTCCATCACAGAGGCAACTCCCATGTTAACTGTCAGAACCAACCCCAAATCAATCTTGAGCTGACCCAACCCTGAACAAACACGAAACAAATCCTCATCCGATCCCAACACACCCTCATGAGGACTGGAAGGTAATAGGAAAAGAGATAGAGGGAGATGATGTCACTCACCTCGTTCCTTCCTTCATCATTTGTTTACTATTTACTTCTAATTCCCTTCATCACTCACTTTAGGATTATTTGCTGCGTGAGTGATAGAAGGAAGGGAGAAGCATGTCCCACCATTATAAATGTATCCTAAAGTAATTTGTAGATGTGGGATGTGGAAGACTGGGAAGAGAGACAGCATATGAATGCATCTGTCTCCTTCCATCTCTTCCCACCTCCAACCGTCCCACCTTTCCAAATTCCAAGGTGTCCAACAATAAATATTAAATCCTGTAAAGATAAATGGAATAATATCATTTACAAAGATTAATAAGAGAGACATACTAATAAGAAAACATAATGAATCTGATGTAACTTCTAAATGTAATGATGACCAAAACAAAAAATAGAATTAGAAAAGTGTCTTGATGGAAAGGCTTGAATAATTCCAGTCTCTTTTTCTCGTCTTTTCATCCACAATGTGATTCCAAAATGAAAAGTGCATGGTAAAAGATGAGGAAGACAGGTCAGCAGGTAATAGATCTATTCACCTCTAGTCTCATTCATTACTTTCATATCTTTATTAATAGCTGGAACTACTTTGTGGTTTGACGGGAGATCTAGAGGCAACCAAACAATACAACTAGAAAGCGAATAAAGGGAGATAGGGAATGAACGCAGCGCTTGGACTGGTCTCTAAGCCGGAAGGTAACTCAAGACATCTCAACTTAGCCCCAGATGCAACTATTATTGGTGAGGGCTGAGGAGAGAGGTGGCTTGATTCTTCCTCCGCTGTCTTTATAATTCCAGTTCCTGTTCATTTCTCCGTCATTATGACTATTCCGGAGTGAACAGGAGAACGAAGGAAGAGAAAGGAATAGACGGAGAAGATGAAAGGGAAGGGACAAGCTTATGAAAGAGATGAATGCTTGTCGTTCCTTCCCTATCATTCCATGCCTCTCACTTACTTCTTCGTTCATCACTTCCATTCAATAATCGAAGGAAGTTTAGAAGGAACTTCCGTGTTACGGCAACTAAGGGCTCTGTGAGACAAATGACAAGAGAAGGAATAAGCCCGCGAGAAAACACGCGCGCGCGCGTGTGGCAGGGGAAGAGAAAAAGATAGTAGACAGATTGGAAGATAGATAGGTAGATAGATAGAGAACGAGATGGATAGATAGATAAAATAGACAGGTAGGTAGATAAATAGATAGATAGATTTATAGATAGATAAATGGATTGTAGATAGAGAGATGAATTTGTTTGATAGATAGCCAAATAGATACATAGCTTAGATAGATACATAAATATAAAGAGAGAGAGAGAGAGACATAGATAGATAGATAGATAGATAGATAGATAGATAGATAGATAGATAGATAGATAGATAGATTAGATAGATAGATAGATAGATAGATAGATAGATAGATAGATAGATAGATAGATAGATAGATAATTTCCTAGATAGCTAGATCGATAGGTAGCTAAATAGATAGATAGAGAGATAGAAAGAGAAACATAAACAGATGGATCGGTAGCTGCCTACACACACGCACACACGAAAAGAAAGAACGGCGCAACACAAAGCAATAGAAAGAAAGAAAAGAAAGAAAAGAAAGAACAAAGACAGAAAGAAGGACATAGAGGCAACAAGAAGGGAGGAAGGCAAGGAAAAAAAGAACAGAGATAATGACGAAGGAAAAAAGGAAATAATGAAGAGGAAGAAGAAGAAAACAAGAATCAAGAAAAGAAAGAGAAAAGGAACTATAGCTTTACATTTTTGAAACTTCCGCCCACCGGCTTCGCCGGCTATACTGGTATTTGTTAAGCATAGAATGGTGGAAGAAGAAGGGAAGTGACTCCTCGCTCATCCGCTGTGTCGTGTCTTCCCTAGCTCTCAGAGTTCTTTCCGGAGACGAAGAGATGAGGAAAGGAGGAAGGAAGGGAATGGCTACCTCTTTTCTCATTCCCACTCCTCTCTTCGTTCGTGTCCATGAGAGATGAGAGATAGAAGAGAGGGAGAAGAGAGGGAGACAGGTGATGGGAAGAGAAGGGACCCACACTGCCAGCTGTTACACAGTCTAATTTTCTGAGGTTATAATGTGTCCTCAGAAATCCATTCCAGGTAAGATAGCAAACATAAAGACTCTACAAACAACAAGAAGAGGAATGGAACGGTAGGGAAGGAAGGAATATCTGTCACTCTTCCTTCCTGCGCCGTGTTATTTTACTATTTGCTGTTTACCTTGCGCCCATGAAATCCTAAAGACTGCAAAATAGTAAAATTATACAAATAGCAAAGATACGAAACCCAAGGCAACCCTAAACCCACCTAAAGCAGCCATCAAGAGGAAACTCATGCAACATTGGCTCAACAGGCGATGCTCGAACTGGAATATAGGTACCCCGCTTCAGCGCCGGACCCCTTGTTGGATCATCAACCGCAAGCGGTCCCGATCCAAAGAGAGCTCGTTCTCCAAGTCCCGAATGGATTTCCTCGAGAGGAAAACTGGCATCATGGCACGGTAAGTCGCTTGCACAGAAACTTCAAAAAACAGGAGGTCGACCCTTGATTCTGGCCAACTTCTTCATGCCCTCCTGGGAAAACAACCGGTTTTGCCACCAAGCTATGGCTCCAAATATGGATCTGGCTCATAGCAAGTGGAGGCTTCCGTCATGTTTTTGACAACTCGTGTTTCTCCACTTGTTGGAACCCAGGAAGGTGCAAGGGTCAGCTTCACTTTGCCAATTTTGGCAACACGGTGGTTGCACAACCTGTTTATTGATTTCTGCAAATAGATAGCCCGCCAGGTAGCTTCATTTCGCCAAGCCCCTGATTTACCGTTTACCCAGTGCGCCACTCGCGCCAGCCGAAGCGGCGAACACGCGAGACGAAACGCGAGCGCCTTGCCACGGTCTCGCTGCCCCGCCAGGAGGGCCCCTTCAAGGAATCGAAGCCTTGATCCTTGGAACGAAAAAACAGGCAGAGCGAAATTTGAGTCAGGTTGCGATGGACGGACCCTAAAAAAACCTTTGTTTGTTGCGGTGTGAAAATGCTGACTCCGGCTGTAAGCAGGGCCTGCTGGACTTTGTTTGATATGTGTGTCTCCGGGTTAGTCTGTTGGATCCTGTCTTAACTGGGTTGCAACTATCAAGGCATCAAGGTTTAATGTGTCGGCGGGGTGCCTGGACTAGTACCGGAACCCAGTAGAGACTCGGAATCCGCTAGAGATTCACGGCGAATGATCACGTTCATGGGTGGGGTGGGGGGGTGCGGGCAGATGATCACGCTTGCCGCTTTGGGGCGAGCGATTACGTTCATAGGAATGCAGACGCAATAGGGTGACGAGGAGGGCAAGTGTTGGGAGGTGGGGTGGTGGGGCCGGGGGGGGGGGAGGGTGGGGTGGGGTGGGTGGGGTGGGGTGGGTGGGGTGGGTGGGGTGGGGTGGGGTTGGGGGGGGGGGGTGGTGGGACAAATGATCACGTTCTGCTTTTGGATTCCGAATGAGTATTTCGTTCATGGAACTGCGGACGCAGTAAGATGAACAGGCTTCATTCGTTGAGCTGAAGTTTGGTGGGCTGGGGGTGGGGAATGCGGCCGCTTTACTGCGGGGCAAAAAGGGCTATGGTCCGAGGTAAGATGTTCAAGGGGTAGGCGTGGGGTGTTTGGGGTGGGGCTGGGGTTTCCTTCAAGAGTGGGCTGGGGGGGCAGAAAGACAAATAGGCGTTCAGCGCTGACCAACTGCCGGCACAACAAATACAAGCTACCCCTCCCACCACGTTACGCCGTCAGGAGGCCAAGCAGTGAAAAGGAGCGCTCCATCGTCTTATAAGAAGACGAATCTGCGGTACATACCACGCAGAAGAAAAGCCGAAAAGCTGGAGCTCCTCTTGCGCGAGCTTGCGAAGTCGCAGCGCAATCCATTGTCTTGTGAGATGACGATTCTGCGACACATACTACGCAGGACAACCCGGCCCAGAAGCGGGACGAGCCTGCAGCACAAATCAAAGAGCACCTTGGAAAATAGCATGCGAACACTTCGAAAGCGGCTCGACAACCTCAATGAATCACAACATCTCCTTCCCTTAGCACAAGCCCGTAGTGCTGGCAACACACCCAGCCGGCACGCGCAGCCTTGGCCACGCAGCCCTTCCCCCAACTACCTTCCACCACCCCGCTTCACCAACGCCGCACCGAACGAGAGCATGCGCCTGCAAGTGCACAAGGGACCGCTGCACGGTGCTGGATAGTAACACGATGTTTCGCTCGGCGAGTGCGCAACCGACCGCTTGGCTGAAAAGCAAGTGCATGCACGACCAAAATCCGAGTGCACAGACGGCCGCGTTAGCGAGTGCGCAAACGAACCCCTGCCCAGGGTTCCGATCACAGGGTTTATATCGAAACTTTCGCCGGGATAGGGGGCCTTCTTGTATATGCTCAAAGCAACGCAAAAACCTTTTGGACGCCTGGCTAAAACTGGCCGATTTTTGGGCAAGCCCAAGGTCGAAAGGTCGATCGATTCTCTTTGAACCATTCAACCTCAGCTGTTGCTCAGCCAAATATGCTATGTTCCTACTGGTCCATGGCTTTCTTAGTGAACCCTATACACCAGTTGGGACGGGTAGTGGGGGGAAGCCAGCCAACAGGCGTCCATCCACAGTATGGAACATACTTTCAAAAGACCTTCCAGTCCTGACTTGGCAAGCCCCTGCCCATCCTCCGAGCCAAAACAACGTTTTGCGGGGCAAAAAGGGCCAACCGAAAGGTATCCAAATGTCACAGGCGCTCTTACCGATGGGCTCCGGGAGTATGACGTCTTTTTTTCCCGGGGGCCCGGGGGAGGGGGGTGAGGCCCACTGCCGGGGTACCTATCCCAGAAGGGAACTGGTACCTTTGTGGTAGCAGAGGTCGTTGATTTGGTCCCTGGATCTATTCCGGAGAGAATCCAATATGCCACTATGGATGATTGGAGGATGGATTGTCCCTGGTGGATTGTCTTGTGGATAATCCTGTAAGCGGCCTGCAAAGGTTCCTTTGTCACGCAATCATGAGTATTGCTATGATACACAAAAGGGCCTTGAGCCAAATGGTTGCGGGAGATCAATTGTGTAACAAACCAAACACAAAACAGGCACAAATTTCTTTTGATCTCCAGCACTAGATATGAAATACTATTGGCTTCATGGCCTTTGGCCGTAGCCTTGCTGTATGCCGTAGCCATGCTGTATGCCGTAGCCATGCTGTATGCCGTAGCCATGTGTATTAAAAAGCCGGAATCATCCTCTTTTCTGCTCGGATGAAATGTCTTGGCTTGCGAAATGGGAAAACACTATGTACTGCTTCTGTGAGATACCTAGATGTATCAAATGGTGATGTACAACACTATGTACACGCGGGACGAATGTGAAACTATTGATCTCTCACTGTATAGTCTTGTAGGCGGTGAGGATCAATCATCTGATTTGAGTTCGTGGTGCTGAACGTATGAATCTTCCTGGTCAGTCGGATCGATGATACCATCGACGGCTGCTGTCGGATTGACTGCCATAGTCTCCATCATCATTCCAGGTCGAGTCGCTGTAGTCCTTCCACTGCTTCTGATGTCCCCACTGCTTGTTGTAGTCCTTGTACTCCTGCGGGGTCCAGGCTTGTTTCTTCTTGAGGTACTCCTGGGATCTCTCAAAGTTGCGTTGCCTGGTTGCAGATTTGCTGCGGATGTAAACCATGAAGAGACTGTGCGAGTCGGAGTCCTGTGAGCCAGTCATGAACATGTCATTGTTCACGTGCTTAAAGCGCTCTGCGGATGAGACTTGGTAATCGAATATGGCCTTTGTTGGATCGTTCCGCATGGCTTTCAGTTGTTCATCATCCATGCCTTTCATCTCGTCCTTCCGGAAAACCTGCTGGATGTTCCTTTTGCCCCATCCAAACACGAAAGTCATCATCACATCTGGGAATGTTCGATCATACCCTGATCCACACTTCATGTACAGGTGATGACGGACAATGGATTTTAGGGTGCACGAAGTCTCCATGAGTGGCAAATTCTTCGTTTCATTTCACAGTCTCTGATACGCCTTCATGAGGATGTTCACGAGACCGTTGGCCGGATTGAAGACGTGCTGGAGTTTGCTGTAGGGATTCGCTGATGTATTGGCGTCTCCGGTGATTGCATCGCATCGGTACAAAGTCACGAGCGGCATGATCTCATTCTGAAGATCTTCCCGTGCTGCTCCATGGCTGATTGATGGATGAATGTGGAAAACTCCAATGGTAGCAAACGGGAGGTCTGCCCTCGTTATGTGGCGGTCGTCATACTCGAGGAGTGTCTTGTTGGATGATTTCGGGAGCATGCCGCGAAACTCATCACTCTGCTCAATATGGAGAACGACAATCTCCTTGTCTCGGGCATGTCCTTGGACAATGGTGCGTGCTGGCAATCTCGGTCCAATGTACTTCTTGGATTCAGTGAACATGGATGGTCCCGTAGTTGCCAAGCAATCCGAGGTCGGAATTTCGTATTCGGGATCAGTGCAACTTCCTTCGGTTCCGAAGAAACATCTGAACATTCCGAATGTGGTTCCCCAACTCTGACTCTTGGTGGAAATGTGCCTTGCCAGTAGTTCCACTCTTGCAGAAGGTCCGCCGCGAACAAAGCATGCGATTGGTCTGGATGACCATTGCTTGATCACGATGCCTTTGTACCCGAATCGGATGAACGTCTTGATGCCTGGATTTCTCATCGTTAGGACTGAAGAATGCGTCTGCTTCATTCAGGCATAAGATGTGTGCACTGTTCTGCATCATCATCTTCACGATTGGTCGATCCTTCATCGGCATGTTGTACACCTCCCTGTTGTCCAGCTTTGGATTCCTCGTGAGGTTTCCATGGTTCAAGGTAAGCATGTTGATCGCTATAGATGAGGTGAACTCATGCATCTTGAGATAGTCCACAGGAGGTCGGACGGTCGGCTGCATCAACGATCCCAGGATATCGGCATATGCTCGGATGGTTTCCGGGTCATCATGTGACCTAAGCTTCTTCAATCCAAGTGGAAGCTTAATCGGATAGCCGGATCCTGGTTGTGACTGCCTGTACTCGTCCATGGTGGGACATTCTCCTCGATGAGGGAAGTAGAATTCTTCTTCTCCGAGATTGACATCGGGATCGACATGTGCCAATGAGGCTCTCTCGCACTCTGTCAATTTGGGATGAGCTCTTCTTGGATCTTTGTTGTACTTGTTCATGAAGCGGAGGAGGTTCCCCTTGGTCTCCGCTTTTTGTTCAAATCTGTTTCGAGATAAACTCCCTTGAGTTCCTGGATGAACTCGTCTAGGTTCTCTGAATTGTGATATTCCACGGTGACCTCTGGTTTGACGGATCTTTCCCCGGAGGGTTCCATGGTCTCCTCTTCAGCTTCGTCCTGATCGGTGGAGTGCCGTCGCTTCTTGGTCTCTGAGGAAGTATCTTTTTCCTTGCTGTGTTTGGTGGAATTCACATAATTGAAGAATGCATCGGCGAATTCACGGATCTTGGTGTCGTACATCTCGTAATCTTCATAACTGAGATGCTTCTTCATGATCCACTTATTGCTCGCCATGCTGCTACCATCAGGTTCAAATGCTGCAACAATGTTCCTTGCCTCGATGGTTTGATCTGTCAACGCTGTTCGCTCTTCGGAGAGTCGGATGCCATAGTCTTGGTCCTTGAGGAATGCAAGGATCAACAGTGCATCTCTTCCTGCTGGCACATGGGTTAGTGCTGCTTCTGACTCATCGTCGTCGAGGATGACGTCATCGATGCATGCCATGTGGACGTGCATTCTCCCCGAAGGGTTTGACTGGGATTTCCCAGACTTGAGCCCGTTCCATAGGTTGCATGGAACATGAACGTGATGGGCTTCTTCGCGAACGGCTTGATTTTTCTCTCTTCTTCAATGGATGGTGGTGCCGGCCTTCGCATT